CAGTTGGTAGAGCATCGCACCGGTATCGCGGAGGTCACGGGTTCGAATCCCGTTGAAGCCCTGACTTTTTTCAAGCTTCTTCTTTCCAATTGCTTAAATTGGAAAATTAACTGCCATGATCATTCTTCACTTTCGTATTTATTTATATTGCGGGGACAACGAAATATGTTGCTTGAAATTCAGCTGGTTCAAATTCGTCGGTCACGAAGAAGGGACATAATAACCCCAGTTTTAATTGTCGCATCGTGAGCTTTACTCTTGCAAACTGTCCCCACTATAATAAAGAAATTAATCAATATCTTCTTCGTGTGCACCAGCTCGCTCACTGCCTTTGCAACATGGGTTCTATGCGTACACGCGAAGGGGCTTGTCTCTGCTTCACGATCGCGCAATATGTACTTAGTGTGTGCCGGCCGACCTTTACACTTTTCGAGCTTGCCGTTCTCGGGTTCTAACAAATGATAGAATACAAGTCACTAAACCAAATCGGTTGCAATATTTGCATAAGTACACTAGTATAAATTTACTCAGTTTAGATATTGCGACGCAAATTTAATGAGAATGAAGTGAGAAACTACAATGGCAGTCGGTTACACTTACCTCACTCTTTAACTTAACTTAACTCATTGCCAAGTAAGAAGTTACGTGACTTTTCAGTACACACTCTGCTCATAAGGAAAATAGCTGAATGAATAAATATGAGTGGCTACACTCTCACAACATTACTAAGTTTAAACTTATGGCTAAAAAATTGCGTGATGCACTTACGAGTGATCTCTAAGCTCATATTCCGAAACTTCGCTCCTTTCTGCGCAAGCGATTGACTCTCGAGAGTTTTGTTGCAGGATCGATTTTGATTGGTTTAAAAAAATAATGAAAGCAACCGGAAGTAAAACAACAGGGACCTGATTGAAGCACATGATTTTCATCTAGACATGCGCAATTCAACTGGAAGCGGGATGTTTTCGGTTTTCTAATATGCACTTTCAGGGTCACTTGGTTCTAGAGTGCTGGTCAAGGGTAACGAAGAATCTGGGTTCTAAGTTGAAATGACTCTTTGTTGCAAAACATTACTTGTTTATGTTTCATTTCTTTGTAGCCGAGATTATTTACAGATTACCAATGAGAAGAATCGGGTGTTTGGCAAGTACTGTGGTCACATGACTGGAAAGACAGTTCTTGTATCTGGAAAATACGCGTTGATAGAATTCCACTCAGACAGCAATAATCAAAACAGAGGATTTCTAATGGAGTTCTCAGCTGTTGTGCCACCCTGTAAGAAATGATAATTGATATGGATATTGATGCTTTTATGATTGAGATAATAACTTTAAGAAGAGAGATATTTATTGAACAATTATAAAACCAGACCTATTAAAGGGAGTAGACGTGTATCTGAAAGAGAGACTGCTGGGGACGATAGAAGTACGTTGATATCGAGAATCAATCAATACAATGAACAACGATCGCAGGATATCTATAGACATAGAAATTTGACTATAAAATGTTTAAACAAGCAACCGGAACGATGATCCTGCTGGTATACGTTGGATCAATAGTGATCTAATCGGCTTTACATATAAAATGAAGAATACAAAACCAAAAACCGACACAACGTAGGATGATTTTTTGAAGGTGTACTATATTTCGGCTGGCCATACCAGCCTTCTTCAGGTACAATGAAAATTTTACGTTGGGACGTGTTTTTATGTAGCCGATATTTGCGTGATACCGGAAATACGTAAAAGTAATCGACAGTGTAAATTAAAGATAAGCATACGGTAAAATAAAATAACGTGATAAAAGAACATAATAAAAGAAAACAAAT